AGTAAGAAATAGCACAAATGTACTGCTTCAAGAAAATCTTTACTGACTGTCTAGTGATTCAGATATAAAATCCTGTCTGGCTTGAATTTGTTGAGACTAGTCAGTGATACCTGCAAGTCTCTCTCTTGTTTCAATCTAGATGGTATTGGCCCCGAGGTGGGGAGGGTATCATGGCCAGAGGAAAATAAAGGCTGGTTTTGTGGTTTAAGTGCAGGATGAGAAATTGGGAAGAGAACATGGATGTCCTTGTCCTGCCACAGAACCTAAAGAAGGCAGGCAGGATGGTGCTTTTACCACATGCTCATTAAGCCTGAGCTACTGAACTTTATAAAGGCAAAGTGCAGAGAGACAAGGGAGGTGACATCTACTCCTCTCAGACTTGTGGCCAACAAATACAGGTGCCGCACAACTTTGCCTCCCATTGTGAATCCCAGCCTTGCACCCTCCATGGGCATCCATGGGGTGCTGAGCTTGTGGATCCTTCTGTAACCCTTCCCCATAAATTCAAGCAGGACTGGCAAGGAGTCAGACCCTTTCCATGCACTGTTGTCAGATGTGGCTGTCCCCTTCTGCCACACTACATTGAGTCCCACTGAAGCCAGTGGAGCTTGTTCCATGTGGGCACAGGGATCTGCTTGCCTACTGAACTAGAAGGGGCTTCACATGACTTCAGAGGTCAGCTGGCACATATTTGATTGCAGGATTAAGACCTAGATTTGTAAGGGTAACTCTTACCAGCGCCTCTGCTTTCACACATGTCCTGCCAATGTCCCAGCAAAATATTAAGTTAACCTTTATTAAATTACTTTATCTACACAGTAAAATGCCTATTAAAAATAGGTAATGAGATATGCTATGAAATTTTCTGCCGACAGATTTAAAAATATTTAGTTGGGATATTATAGCAACTGCTAAAAGTACATTTATAAATTAGAATACATCCAATTATTTATGAATGGGCATACAACATGGTAAAACATCATATAAACATGTATAAATAGTACTGTCTATTCATCATTTCTAAAGTATGAATAAAGTATTTATAAGTGTTATCTTAAAGTTTACCAGAATTCCTATGGCAACCATTGTATAATACATCTGATGCCAAGTGGCGTAAAATATCAAAAAATAGTTTGCATCAAAACTCCCGTATTCCTCAAAGATTCATTTCTCATCCCTAACTAGATTAGTCACACTATTCATACTGGCTGAGGGTCAGTACAGAAACTAGTTCAAGTCACTGAATGTAACTAAAAAGAAATACCTGTACTTACATTGACTTTCATAATGTTCAAAGGATTTCAGACAAATGGAACAAAAAATACTCCACTGTGTGCTTTTCAAACTAGGTTTTTCCTATTTTTTCAGCATGGAAATTTCCTCTCTATGATTGATGTATTGCCTCTCGTGCTCCCAAGGAAGGCTTTCACCTTTTAAACTATCTACTTTACCTAGAAGAAATATTACTCTGCAGCCTGTATCAGCAGAGGCAAATGTTTGTTCATGATAATTAATATTAATAACCCCTTTTTGCAATACTTTTAGAAAATTTATTAAATTCCAGGCCCAAATGAAACAATCGAGTTGGCCCAAGCTAAATAACTTTATTTTTCTATTTAGAAATTTAAAAAAACAGAATAAACTGATGGATTTTGGCTTACAAATGACAGCATTCCGTGTATATAACTTTATATGTACTTTTCTTTGTAAATATAACCCATTTACATTAATCCATCAGCAGTGACAGCTCCTCCAGTGTGATAGTATGTGTATCATACTTGGCACAGAAACATAAATACCTCTATTAGTTCTGTAAAAGGTCCTCTTTATTTTTTTTTCCAAACAGCAGGTATTTTCTGGTCAATTACTGTAAGTAGCCTTTAACAAATTCTAAAAATTCCACGGGTGTAAGAAGGAAAAGCACTGACTTCTCTTCCCTTCTGATTAAAAATGGAAATCATATCCCCGCTGAAAGTGTTCAGTTTATACCCAGTAAAAATAACGTTCTATTTGATTGCCAGGCCAGTGAGTAGAGGTTAGACAAGATCAGGATATCATGAGAGATCTAAAAACCACACCAGTACAACCTTAACTGGATCCTCAAAGATTCACATCAGTGCTTGATTTGGCAGGCTGTGCATAAACTCCTCATTTAACATTTTTTTAAAATTACTCAAGGTGTGTGTTACCTGATTTTATTTACATAACAGTATTTTCAAGCAGCTCACTGAGAAGTTAAGCCTGCAGCCCGTTTGCTCAGCAGGAGTTCAGTTAAAACATGCCAGTGAAAACTGGGTTGTTTAAAACAAAAGCTAAGAAGCCACTTATAAACCCTCTAAACACTAATAGATACATATCTTCTCTTTACGTTCTAGTACCCTCCTGAGCAGCAGCTACTGGGACAAACAAGGACTGGTTGCAAGACTTGATCCTCTATTTCTTGAGCTCATTCCAGTGCCAAAGCTGTCATGCAGCGTCCCCTGACAAATGTTTCGAAGGCTGATTATTTGTTCACCTGAGTAATGACATAGTTTTCTACTATGCCAGTCACTGAATTAGCTGAGCCCATGAGTGACTGGTGCCTCCTGAACCTGGGTGGGGGGCACCCGCAGAAGCTGCTGACCCTGTCAGGTGGGGCACCAGCCCTACCGACAGCATCAGTGTCGGCTGTCAGGGAGGGCACCGACCCTGTCACGGGGGGCACGTGCACCCCGTGCACCCCCTACCAGTTGCCTATGCACAACAGACAATAGTTTAAGAACTTGCAGCAGTCTTGACCCTAAAATAATGGTGTTTTCCCTCAGTCCAGATGCTCTGAGGATTGAATTAAAGCTTGAGATGTGTAACTGCTCCCCTCTGAAATACACACGAGCAACATAAAATGAAAAATAAACTCCCTTTCAAATCTAAGAACCTGGCCCTGGAAGACTTACACCAGATGCTTAAGTGTATACACCCTACATAGTTTTATTAAAATCAGTGGTCACAACCAGGGACTATCTGCTATTTTTTAAGGGAGGGAGCTGTCTAGAGATTCTGTGTTGAAAGTTTCCCTGAAAAGGGTTTCGGGGGGGGAAATGGTTTTGGTGAGTGTGCACTTTCTGACAGAAAAAGTTTCATTGAAAAAAAAAATAATCCCGACCAGCTCTACTTAGTGTCCCCCGCCACATCACCCCAGCTCTCCCAAGGGATCTGGTGGGAGTTCTGACATGAACCAAGGATAAAAATGAGTTTGACATCCCCCTTGTTGACTTTATCTCAGTAACTCACCATGGGCAAGCTTTAAATGTCAGGCACGGTCAAGAAGTCTCTCTCTCCTTCTATTCAGTTACCCGCTTGAAAAGCTGCAAAACCGAGGTGCTAGGAAACTACCACTAAGCCATGCCACGCCTGCTCCCCTCTCTGTTGATTCCCTTCTTTTCGGGGCTCCCATTTAGACTTGAGGAGGAACTAGGTGGAGGGGCCCCGCTGCAACCATGCGCGCCTGTGCTTAGCTTAAAAATAAGTGGGTCTGTTAACATCAACCTGCCCCTAGGTTGTTTCATTTCTTCTCTCCTTTGCAGGATCGAGGCCTAATTGGCCAAAGAAACCTGGCATACTGCTCGTCTGCTCTGGTGAAACCCCGAGGAGGGCAAGGGCAGGTTTGGGGCTAGCCTGGGATCTGGGAGACCCACTGAAGGGAGCATCTGGGGGTGCAAAGGGACCTTCCCAGCCGGTTACCCAAAGCCAGGTTGGGACATGGGATCCATTTTTTCCTTCACAGAAACTCGATGAAGTTTCATTTCCACCTGGGAGAGATGTTACAAGCTGTGCATTCTCCGTCTGAGGAAGGGCGAGTGAGCCTGAAAGCTTGCAAATAAAAGACAGGGTTTTTTTCCTGCAATTATTGAGTCGGTCTAATGAAAGATGTCACCTCTGCCAAGAGTTCTGCCTATGTTGTTTGCCCGTAGACCAACACAGCCTTTCCTTCAGACACCCAGACCGGAGGGGACCGGAGGTGAAGCTGGGCCCCGCGGCGAGAGGAGCCTCCGGGCCCGGCGGGGGCCGCGGGGAGGCCGCTCGGGGCCGGCCCGGCCGAGGGGGCTGGGGTCT